GGCGCATGGGCGTCCAAAATAGGGGTAAACACTCTCGCAAAACTCCGCCACTGATCGGACACGGTCCGGGACGCAAAAACAGACTGCCAGTCGGCTGAGGCCAAATCGAAATGCAGTGATGGTACATCGACATTACGCAAGGACCTACTTTGGGTTAAAATGGGCTTGTGGCGTGGTCGGGGGACGGATAAATCAAAACGTACAAAGCGATGCGGGCTAAAATGGCAGTGGTACACTCCGGACCGAGACACAACACAGCCTGCATTGGTAATCACCAGGTCCAACAGGGAACCGGAATTGAATGTCGGACACGTTACATGCTGGCTGAGAGAATATCGCACTAGAAATTCACTTAGTTTATCGCGCCCGAAGCTGTTTTGAGTGTTGAGCATGTTACAGTTAAGGTCGCCGGCGAGTACGATTGGACACTGCGGATAAGTCATGAGAGCGAGCTGGAGCTGTTTATCAAGTTCATCGATGTCATGGTCGAGGGCGGCCTGAGTGTGGCGCGGCGGGCGGTACAGTGACGCAAGCAACAGCTGGTGCCGATCCCACTTGATGTGACACCACAGCGACTCAAGCTTGCATTGGTTATTGTCGATCTCAGGAGTTTTTAGCACCGTGGTTTTAATGTCACTTTTGTGAAGAATGGCCACACCGCCGTACCCGCGCCCATCAGGACGGTCGGCTCGCGTGACAGTGAAGCCAGGGAAGACCAGGAGACGGCTGTTGAGTCGCGGGCACAGCCAGGTTTCCTGGAGAAGGACGATGTCGTATTTGCATTGCTCCAGCTCGTGACGTAGCTCCACGGCCTTGGGCTTGAGCGATTGAATGTTAAGGGTGCAGGCTCGCAGCTCTCCCCGCGCCGCCCCCGCCCTCCAGCGCTCGCCGCCCCTGCAGCCGCGCCGCCGGGAGCGCCGGCCGCGCCTCTTGCCCCGGCCGACCGATGTAGGCGGCCCGGCCGCCAGTGGAGTCCGCGCGACGGGTGCACCAGGCGCGTCCGCGCTCCGGCCAAGGTCAGCCGCGCCAGTGGCTCTCAACCTGTGACCCGGCGCGGTGGGCTGATTGGGGTCGGAGCAAAAAATGAGCAAAAATGAGCAAAAAACATGCAATCTTGAAACGCTCACCAAATCTACAGTTATCAAGCAATTTCAAAGTTATTTATATGGTCTAGTAGACAAAAGGCGGCGCTACAAAACTGCTATCTCGGATTTTCAAAATTTTTGGTTTTTGACCAAAACAAATCAAAAAAGTGATTTTTTTAGAAAAACTTTGAAAAAATCCAAAAATTTTCCGAATTTCGAAAAAAAAAAACGGAATATATGTGATAGTCCCAGCGCTCTTCTATATACATACCAAATTTCAGATCGATATCTCGTTTTTTGGCCAAGTTATAGCGAAAAAACTGTTCAAAAATGATGACGTCAAATTTTTGAACTCAATTTTTAGCAATTCTAGACCTCGTACGGCAAAACAAAGACCACCATTGAACTCCCCGTGACGAGTTGCATCGATTCGATACCAATTTTATGCAAAAATATTAACTTTGAAATTTGACCTAATTTGACCTGACCTTGACCTGACCTTGACCTGACCTTGACCAAAACGTGATCTAAGCTGGCCCCAAAGGCTGCCTGACCCATATAATCGCATTTGTCATGTAAAATGGACCATAAAACATGTATCACACGACACTTTCATATTGTGACCCCCCCGTGACCTGACCTCTGTGACCTGACCTGGTATCAGTGACCTCAAATAGCAAAATATGTGTTTGAAGAACATTTCCCCATCGATGATTTTCAATGAAATGCATTTTACTCGATTTTACAACGCATTTCTTGAAGTGCCTGTAAACGGTGAAAATTGGACCTTTGACCTGACCTGTGACGTCATCGGTTTGACCTAGGTCAATAAAATTGGGTCACAAGGTAGTTCCCCGTTGGGGCTATCCAACGCCGTTTACCGCTTGTCGCTATATTGCGTGGTTCTCGAGATCTTAGGGGGGGGGGGCCAAAATGGCCCCCCCCAACCGGGCGCGTTGCTCGGCAGAGCCCAACGGGGCGCGGGTTAATAATTGTCCTGTTATTGTGTCCACAATATTCGGCAAAAGTGGTCTATTTAAGTTTATACAATGAAAATTGTGGTTTCTAGGGCTTCTACGTAAACTCAGCTTGACAGCCATGCCACTAATTTTTAATATTTTCTCACCGAAAGCCTTACAAATTGATGTTCATCTCACCCTACTTTTTAGGGTCCGCCGGTGGTGTCCGCGCGCCTCTCGACAAACTTCGATTTTGCGGTCAGTTTTACCAAAGATAATTATTTTTTAGGAGGTAAAAATGGCACCATCGGATAGTTTGGAATGTTTTGCACACGATTAGACTGCTTTTTACTCAAAAGAAGAGAAAAAATATTTTGAATTTATGCGTGCTAATTCTGAAAAAGGGCCACTGTGCGACGGTAACACTACCATGGCCCATGATGGCGCCGGCGGTAACCCCCAGCTGCCAGCATTGGCAATGGCATCTGTTTACCCCGACCCGACCAAGTACCTATACCAGCGCCATACAACTGGCATACCTATAGGTACCTTTTCCTTATATACCTACAGCTGGTAAGCCTATAGGATAAGGTGGCATTCCTTAGGTAGGTAGGGGAGAGTGGGGAAAGATGCCCAGGGTTTGACTATGCCATATATTATTCGAAAATGACGATCGGAAAGCCAAAACTTGGAGTTTCAACGGAAGCCGACATCATTTTTCTCCAAAAATATCACACTTTCGTGCCTGAAACATGATAACTTTTTTTGCTATTACCTAAGCATTTTCCTGAAGAAGTGAAAGGGGGCATCTTACCCCACAGGGTGGAAAAGACGCCCCCTGGCGTTGGGTAAGATGCCCCCTGCACTAAAGTGACAAAAATAGGCACGTTAATCGCCTGAACGAATCAGTAGTCCCTTCGAGCCTGCAGTAGACACCAAACGTCATCGTAAGGGCCCTCAAAAGTAGTCGTAAGGGGCTTCAGAGGTCATCGTTAGGGCCATCATAGTCCAGCGTGGCCAAACAAGCCTCCGTGGTGGCGTTCGGAGACCACTGTGGGGCCCTTATAGGTCTTCATGATGCTTGAGGGCCCTCAAGCCCATCGTGGGGACCTCAGATGTCAGCGCGGCCCGTGGAGCCAACGTGGGAGCCCTCAAAGGATGTCGTGAGGGGCCCTGGAACCAATAATGGGGCCCACAGAGGCCGTCGTGAGGGCTCTCAGAGTTAGATGCCGCCCAAAAAGTCGCTGTGTGGGCCGAGAGACCGGCATGGGGAGCACCCGACCGTACCGGACTCTCAATAGTCCCAGATCGGCTTTTGTCTCTCATCACAAGTATGTAATAAATGATTTGACGGGCTGCTTGAAGGACAGCCTACGAATTTAGGGGGGCGTCTTTCCCCATCAGGACAGGGGGCATCTTACCCCAAGGTACCGAAGTAACATTAAATCAGCACAATTTGTTGCCATAAAACTACACCCTGAAACAAACTGTTTGGGACACAGTACACGCATGTTATTGTATCACGACTATAGCAAGGGACGCAAAAATTATCTACCTTCTTTGATATTTACAATGTTTTGACGCCAAAATACTTTTTGAAAGCAGCAAATAAAAAACATGCAATCACCAGCCAGCCGTTGCCCAACTGAGCTTCGCAAATTTTTGTGCAGTTAACAAGGCAGGCTTCCGCTTTACGCTAAGAACATTCATTTCCAGGTTCGATTCTTTGTTTCCCCGCTAGAGGGGGTGGGGCGTCTTTCCCACCCTGGGCATCTTACCCCACTCTCCCCTACCTACCTACAACCGAATGTTTACGCATGAGGTACCATTTACCCTCTACCAGAAACTCATCGCGCACGGTCTTTGCATATAAATGAAACAGCTTTCGTAGGGGCAGGGTGGTGTAACACCACCATTTTGTTACCCACACATTTTGTGGGCTGCAAATAAGCCAAGTAGATACCTATTCTAAATAGTCAGCAGATGACCTACATGAAAACCGTTTAGGAGAATCGGTACGCTTCAAACCCACCAAAAACACATGAAATTCAAATTGCTACCAAGACAATAACTAGAACGCGACTTGGGACATATTCTCTCATCTAGGGGCCATAGGGGCTGTGTCTCCCTCCCGCTTGCCCTATTTACTTTTACATTTTAGTGCCTAATTCATAACATGACTGCGTAAGTAAGCGAATCTACATAGGTATGCATGTTATGGTAGTCAGCAGAGTAACTGTCAACGTTTGGTACACATATTACACACAGATATAACGTTTGTTTTTGTTTTGTTGGGTTAGGCCCTTTCGGTCCAATGAGACCATTTCAGAGCCGGGAGGATGATAGGATATAGGGGGAGACATTGGTCTGGGCAGGCACCCTAGTGAGTCGCCGGGGCTGAGCCCGTCCAGAGGACAGGCCACCCAGCCCCAAGGCACTCACTGCACCCGGCTACGGGGTGCGCTCCCTCGGGAGCAGCGGTGCCGCTCCAAGGGAGCAGCCCGCATGAGATAAAGTTGCCTGTCCAGCCCGGAGGGGGGTTGCGGCGTGGAGAAGGATTTCAGTATCCTGAGGATAGAAGCACGGAACGGTGAGATATAACGGGGCACAGTGTCATGTCATTCAATAATTTATTATCGACGTAACAGATTACTGTGCGTCGTCCAGCCGGCATGACAATGCATGACTATAAACAGATAGCACAAAGGTTGCGAAATAGCACCGCACGCTCATCTAGCCCATGAGCAAAATCCGACTAGCACATCAATACATCATAAATACGAGCTAGCGCAATTCTGCAGCCTTAGCTTCAACTAATCGCTGAAAACCTTAGACCTATACGAAAAGCCGAACTACAAAAAAAAATGTCGTCATTTACAGCGTGTTCACTGGCTCCGCCAAGGCTCAGGCAGTGCACCGTTTCGACAGTTCATTCAGCCTCGCAGCTGCAATTAACAAACCAACTGCATTTACATAAGGCCGCCGCCACTGCCACCCGCGCTGAGGCTTTGACGCCTCGCGGGTCGCCGCTAGATGTCACTAGTGCAGTGGGTAGTCGGGCGGGCGGAGTCGGAAGGTGCCGAGACCGCCGCGAGGAGCCGTCAGACCCCCGAAGCCGGCGGCAGCGGCCGCGGCGGCCGCCGCCTGGCCGGCCGAGTAGGCCAGCGAGGCTGAAACGGGAGCAGGTGGTAAGATGGGAACCGAAGGAGAGGGGTCATGCTTAGCGGCAAACGAGGCCTCTTTTCTCAAAGCGAGAAATCATGTTGGATTTACATGATACATCCTTCCGGTTTTCTTGAGCTGGAAGCGGTTTTGAAAGTGGCAAAGATGTCTTTTCGACCACCGTTTAATTCTCGGCGCCTCGAGTGACTCCCCTCCCCTCCCCCTCCCTCTGATCTCCTGATCTCTGGCACTCACCGGCAGCCGACGACCCGGCCGGCGCCGGAACCATAGCGCACGCCGCGCTGCTATTGGTCGAGCCGATGAACGACGGACCAATCATGGTGTAGTGGGCGGGCCCCGCCGGTTTCCAAGTTGAGTAGATGGGATAGTCGGAACCCACGGGGCTGGCGGGTACGGATGCTGCACAGAGCGACCCTGAAATGCCGGCGTCGGGTGTCACCAGCTGGCCTGAACGAGCCGGAAAAAAGACTCGCCCACGGCAGGCACCTCTCGATGTGCCATCCTCCTGTGGCCTCTCCTGTGCCCTTTCCAGCAATCTCCTCCCATGACCTGTCCCATTGATCTTTCCTTCTGACCTCTCCTTGTGACCTCCTTGAACTCTCCCTTCCAGTGACCACATCAATGACCTCCCCTGTGACCTCTCCCTTCAAGTCAACTCCCCTGTTACAGCTCTTCTTTTGGCCCTTTCCTCCTATTGGCAACTCTCTGTTATCTATCCATGTGAGCTGTGACCTCTCCATGTGAACTTTGACCCCTTTCTGTAAACTGTGACCTCTCCCTATGACCGGTGACCGTGACCTCTGACCGGTCGCTGCCCCCCTCTGAGACTGACCTGTGGGTCGCGGCGCCAGCGGCTGCTCGGCCCCCGTGACCGGCTCCGTCCCGGCCGAGGTCAGACCCAACGCCGGAGTTCTCTGCGCCAGCAAACTACGCTCGTTACGCCGGAACTTGGCGCGCCGGTTCTGGAACCATACCTGGGGGAGGGGGCAGAGACCAGTGACGATCTGATAACCAAATCTGGGGATGTGGCAGGGATCAGTTAAGGTTCAGGGGCCTTCACAATGGTCAGCAAAGTAGGTGTGGTTCATGGTTGCTCTGACGAGCTGCAAAAACAAGTAAAATTCGTCTAAAAGCTCTTAAAAAAAAATCAATTCTGACCTATTTGTAGGTCATACCCACGTTTACTCTGCATACCCACGTAACCCATCTATGTTTACCCTGCTCTAAATAACAGCCGTTTTTCCAATGCGCATCTTCCTGTCCCCGCCACGGCGCTCAACGTTCTGATCCTGTCTGAGATAATTAGTTGGGACGGCTGGGACGGCGCGGCGGTCGGGCCCGGCTCGGGTTACCTGCCAATCACGGGAGGAATGCGTCCCGCCGCCAGCCCTCGGTCCTAGTCCCGACCTCCGGGGAGGAGGCAGGGCGGAATCCGCGCTGGTGGTCCCCGGGTTGCTTTTATTGGGCCGCTAGGGACTGTAGCTTGGGGTAGTGGGAGGGACACGACAAAAAGGACCAGAAATGTTTGTCCTTTTTTCGACAGCAGTAGCCCTTTTTGAAATTACTTTACTGGCTCCAGTGGCTCCTGCTAGAAATGTTGATCGGATACCAAATAATGGTGTAGAAATACTGAGTAAATGCCGATTTCGTGCTTGATATTTGAATCTTATTTTTAGATTGTCTCTCATCCATGTATGATGGAAAAAAATACCTGGTATACCTAATCTGATTGGGCAAAAAAAATATTTTCTCTTTCAACTTCCTCATGCATCGTGGTCATATTCAGAGTCGGAGCCGGAGTCAGAGTCGAAGCTGAAGTCAAATCCGACTATAGGAGCCCAATGTCGCGGTCAGAGTCGGAACTCTACCACAACTCCTCTAAAACCCTGGACTAGTCAGTTCACAAACCAAGCCCAGCTCCGGAGCGAACTGCGCGACTGTTGATGACAGACAGACAGACAGACAGACACGAGTGACGGGTGTGTGACTATCAATGACAGACGGACAGACGTGCAGTGACGGGCGTGTGACTATCAGTGACAGACGGACAGACGTGCAGTGACGGGCGTGTGACTATCAGTGACAGACGGACAGACGTGCAGTGACGGGCGTGTGACTATCAGTGACAGACGGACAGACGTGCAGTGACGGGTGTGTGACTACCAGTGACAGACGGACAGACGTGCAGTGACGGGCGTGTGACTATCAGTGACAGACGGACAGACGTGCAGTGACGGGCGTGTGACTATCAGTGACAGACAGACAGACGTGCGGTGACGGGCGTGTGACTATCAGTGACAGACAGACAGACGTGCAGTGACGGGCGTGTGACTATCAGTGACAGACGGACAGACGTGCAGTGACGGGCGTGTGACTATCAGTGACAGACAGACAGACGTGCAGTGACGGGCGTGTGACTATCAGTGACAGACAGACAGACGTGCAGTGACGGGCGTGTGACTATCAGTGACATACGGACAGACGTGCAGTGACGGGCGTGTGACTATCAGTGACATACGGACAGACGTGCAGTGACGGGCGTGTGACTATCAGTGACAGACGGACAGACGTGCAGTGACGGGCGTGTGACTATCAGTGACAGACGGACAGACGTGCAGTGACGGGCGTGTGACTATCAGTGACAGACGGACAGACGTGCAGTGACGGGCGTGTGACTATCAGTGACAGACGGACAGACGTGCAGTGACGGGCGTGTGACTATCAGTGACAGACGGACAGACGTGCAGTGACGGGCGTGTGACTATCAGTGACAGACGGACAGACGTGCAGTGCATCTGGCGCGGTCTGTGAACGGCTCCAGCTGGGCACGTCTGTGGACCGACCAGTATCGGTCTCACTTCGGCACCGCCTTACCGGCGCCGACCGGGCCCATCAGCCCCTGACGGCTGGAGGAGAGAGCCTAAGAGCGACCAACAGCCCCTGTCAGTAGCCTTAGAGGGGTGGCCTCAGCTCAGCCCCTGACGACGGTCTCATAGGAATAGTCTCAACATAGCCGCTGTCGATGGGCTAAGGGGAGTGCGGCTCGCTGCTCCCCCCCCCCGGACCGGAAATAGGTGTGACTCCTCGAGCGGCGCCACTACCTCAGATCAGTCTGATGACGAGTGACACCGGCCGTCACGGCTGTGACACCGGCCGTCACGGCTGTGATGCGTGACGGTAGCAGGCGCGTCACGATCGTCTGGCGCTCCGTCCGTCTCACGCCATCGAATAAGAGCTGCCATACTCGCATAATTATAGCTGGTCCTCAAGGAAATTAGCGTTAATCATTTTCGGCATTTTTGACATTTATTCATTGATAATTATAACCCGCGCCCCGTAGGGCTACCGGCGGACCCTACCACCCGTAGGGGGGGGGGGCCGTTTCGGCCCCCCCCCCTAAGATCTCGGAAAGTTACCGGCCGATTTTCAAAATTCAAACGGCGTTCGATAGCCCCACCCGGGAACTACCTTGTGACCAAATTTCATTGACCTAGGTCAAACCGATGACGTCACAGGTCAGGTCAAAGGTCAGATTTTCACCGTTCACAGGCATTTCAAGAAATGTGTTGTGAAATCGAGTTAATTGGTAATTTATTGAAAACCATCGATGGTACATTGTTCGTCAAACACATACTTTGCTATCTGAGGTCACTGATACCAGGTCAGGTCACAGCGAGGTCAGGTCACCGGGGTCACAATATGAAAGTGTCGTGTGATACATGTTTTATGGTCCATTTTACATGACAAATGCGATTATGTGGGTTAGGCAGCCTTTGGGGCCAGCCTAGGTCACGTTTTGGTGAAGGTCAGGTCAAGGTCAGGTCAAATAAGGTCAAATTTCAAAGTTGATATTTTTGCATAAAATGGGTATTGATTCGATGCAGCTCGTCACGGGGAGTCTAATGGTGGTCTTTGTTTTGCTCTACGAGGTCTAGAACTGCCAAAAATTGAGTTTGAAAATTTGACGTCATCAATTTTGAACAGTTTTTTCGCTATAACTTGGCCAAAAAACGAGGTATCGATCTGAAATTCGGTATGTAGATAGAAGACGGTAGGTACTATCACATATATTCCGGTTTTTTTGAAACTCAAAAAACTTTTTGGATTTTTTGGCTAATATATCCAAAAAAATGCTTTTTTGATTTTTGGGGTTCAAAACTCAAAAATTTCAAAAATCCGAGATAGCAGTTTTGTAGCCCTGTCAATTCTACACCTTTTATGTCTTGATCATTTTTCTGTATCTTCAAAGCTGTAGGCCTGACAGGTCTTCTCGCGAAGGTCTTTTTTCGGTCGAAAATGACAGAACATGACGTCATTCTGACGTCATTTGTGGCCAACCTATCATAGCCTCTGGAAAAATTTTTGGTCACAATGTTTAAAATTGATGCCCGGAGGGGTCCTGAAAGTTTGGTGGCGATATCTGAAGCGGTTTAGGAGATATCGACCGAAAAGGACAGGGGGGGGGCCGTTTCGGCCCCCCCCCCTACGGGGCGCGGGATAATTGTTTTGTCTGCCTTTTTAACGTTGATAAAGGAAGAAAAAAAAACATGATCAGAAGCCAAACAAGACAACAATAAATTTGTCATATCAATGAACTGAAAACGGGTCGTGATCAATTGGACCCGCTTCTCACGCACCAATGGAAACACCCGACTTCCAAGCCCTAACGCGGACCACGGCCCACCTACCTGAGCCCGTGCCTCACTGAGGCGGACTCCGGGCGCCAAGTCCTCACTGAAGCTGAAGCTCACCTGAATTCGTTCCTTACTGAAGCTGACTGCTCAACTGAACCCGTTCCTCACTGAGGCTGACTGCTCAACTGAACCCGTGCCTCACTGAGGCTGACTGCTCACCTGAACGCGTGCCTCACTGAGGCTGACTGCTCACCTGAACCCGTGCCTCACTGAGGATGACTGCTCACCTGAACGCGTGCCTCACTGAGGCTGACTGCTCACCTGAACGCGTGCCTCACTGAGGATGACTGCTCACCTGAACGCGTGCCTCACTGAGGCTGACTGCTCACCTGAACCCGTGCCTCACTGAGGCTGACTGCTCACCTGAACGCGTGCCTCACTGAGGCTGACTGCTCACCTGAACCCGTGCCTCACTGAGGATGACTGCTCACCTGAACGCGTGCCTCACTGAGGCTGACTGCTCACCTCAACCCGTGCCTCACTGAGGATGACTGCTCACCTGAACGCGTGCCTCACTGAGGCTGACTGCTCACCTGAACTCGTGCCTCGCTGAGGCTGACTGCTCACCTGAACTCGTGCCTCACTGAGGCTGACGCGGCGCGCCAGATCCTCGCGGACAAACGCGTCCGGGTAGTGTGTGCGCTCGAAGACCCGCTCCAGCGCCGACAGCTGCGCGGAGGTGAACGTGGTGCGGTTACGGCGCGGCTTTCGTTTCCGAGCGGCCTCTCCCGGTCCACCAGCCTCCTTCAGAGTCGAGTCGCCGTCCTTCGAGAGTTCCTCGTCTGCGGGGACAGGCAGGGGGTCATCAGACGGTTAGCTTTACCGTAGGGAGGTGACGCCTCGCCACAAACGGATGGGTCTGAATAATTACTAGACAACACAGACGCCATCACTGTGACGGTAGGCCGCAGAATTTAAGCATCATGGGCTAAGCACCGGATGATGAATAAATAGGTACTCCGTCCTTGAATTTAATACAATCGATTGAAGTATGTAAAAGCGGATACACACAACCAATATATTACTCATTATATAAATTAACATCGCTATTCAACTAGTTAGAGTTAGGCTATGATAAGTCATTCCAAAGAAACGCTCATCAATCATGTGACAATTCAGGTTGATGATTGAACTAAACTAAGAGCAAAACTATTAATGTTTAATTTTGTAATTTCATTAACAGTTTTTTAAAATCGGGACGAGCACCGCTTTGATTGGATAACAATCTGATCAATTAGTTGTCGGCGCTGACAGTCACCAATCGTTTGGAGGCGCACCAGAGCCGATCACTGATCCAGTTACGTCACTCTGAAGTCTGTCGGCCACATCAAAGACGGTGGCACGTGCCAGCCGGCGCCACCGTCGGCCGCGGCGGGCGGGGGAGGAGTCGGGCGGAGTCGGGCGGGGACGGGCGGGGACGGGCGGGGACGGGCGGGGACGGGCGGAGACGGGAGGAGTCGTGCAGGGACGGGGCAGGCTCGGCAGGCTCCTGTTCCGTCACATGTTGGCTGTACTGCCCTCTGAGCCTGCGAGTTACGTCTTCAGAACACAGCTACAAATTACAATTCGCGTGTAACCGACGTGGCGCTGTCTGAAAAGTCTGTTGTTATTTAATCTCCGATTACATGTTTCGGAGATTGGTACCAGCGAATCTCTCGTTGCAGCGAATCTCCCACTGTTTTCAGTGTATCACGCCGTCTCGACAGCCCGAGGCTGTACTTCTGTACGCCGGCGCGATGGGGCAGCCTTAGCGCCAACAGCAATAGCAAGTGTAGCCCCGTCAGCGGCGGCTCAATTTGTCAGCGTCACACAACAGCGTGACGTAAAGTGATGATGTCGCTGGACAGTGACGGAGCGAGCGTCTCTCCGTTGGGACCGCGTCTGCAGCCACCAGCGGCGAGAGAGCACTCTCTGAGGGTGCACCCTCCCAGCATGGCAGATGGGTCGCGCAGGCAATAGCGTCAACGTTTTTACTCTGTTGGTACTTACCTCGCTTCATTTGTTATAAAACGATTACGATCTCATGAGGCATTACGAATTGGCAGCCGACGTGCAGCGCCGATATAGCCATGAATTTAGCAGTATTCTGAGAAAGACGGATCAATCAGGCCCGAGATGAAAGAACGAAGTTTAGGAGCGGCATTCTGCACGACCAGTAAGCCAGGGTTCAGTGGCAGTTCTGATCTGATCAGCGCTCGCTACCCGCGTTTGTGTGCTTTCACGTCGTTTGATCTGGTTCAAACTCGGCTAAGCACCTATCAGCCGGGCTGTTGACTGACGGTTGAACGGTGGGTGAAGTTGCAAAGCAGGCCGCCCATCAGAGCTCAATACGACCACTAAACACCACATTACAGGACGGGCTGCGGCCGCCGGCGGAGCCGGCAAATGGCTCGGTAAACGCCACCCCAGTCCCGACCCTCCTGTCCCAGTCCCGTCCTGTCCCAGTCCCGTCCTGTCCCAGTCCCGTCCTGTCCCAGTCCCGTCCTGTCCCAGTCCCGTCCTGTCCCAGTCCCGTCCTGTCCCAGTCCCGTCCTGTCCCAGTCCCGTCCTGTCCCAGTCCCGTCTTGTCCCAGTCCCCTCCTGTCCCAGTCCCGTCCCGTCCCGTCCTGTCCCAGTCCCGTCCTGTCCCAGTCCCGTCCTGTCCCAGTCCCGTCCTGTCCCAGTCCCGTCCTGTCCCAGTCCCGTCCTGTCCCAGTCCCGTCCTGTCCCAGTCCCGTCCTGTCCCAGTCCCGTCCTGTCCCAGTCCCGTCCTGTCCCAGTCCCGTCCTGTCCCAGTCCCGTCCTGTCCCAGTCCCGTCCTGTCCCAGTCCCGTCCTGTCCCAGTCCCGTCCTGTCCCAGTCCCGTCCTGTCCCAGTCTCGTCTTCGTCCCGTCCCGTCTCCGTCCCGTCCCCGTCCCGTCCTCCATCCCGTCTCCGTCCCGTCTCCGTCCGTCCCATCTGTCCCACCCAGTCCCGTCTCCGTCCGTCCCATCTGTCCCACCCAGTCCCGCTGCGGGAGGTGCTGTCGATCCGTCACCGGCGACTGACGGCCGGCGCCGCGCATCCGTCAGCGCGCCCCGCCACCGTGTCGCCAGAGTCACCGAGCCGGAGAGTGGCGCCGCCCCGTCCGACCAGACCCGGTCGACCCTCCCCTCGGTCTGCCAGAGACCCGGGCCGCCCCTCTCCCGGTCTGCCAGAGACCTGGGCCGCCCGTCTTTCAGTCTTCCAGAGACCTTGGCTGTCCCTCCTTCGGTATGCCAGAGACCCGGGCCATGGGGTAAGCCCTGGGTCTGTCTAAAACCGGGACGCCCCTCCTCCGGCATGCTAACACATAAAAGACCTAAGCCGCCCTCCTCTGGTCTGCCAAAGACCCGGGACGCCATAGATCCATTCATCCCAGAACCGGCCTGCTTCAAGGGTCTGCCCCAGACCCGACCCGACCCAGACCTATCCCGATCCACCCCGGTCTGTCCCGAATCCCGATCCAACCTTGTTTAGGCTCACATCTTCTCAGGTCCCCAAATATCGTCAATTAATTAATTTTCCCAGGATAAATACAAATTACGGCCATCCTAGTATGTGTGTTATACTAAGTGACACTTCCATCAGCACTCACAAACCATGAGAAGACTAGAGCCGAGTATCACATTCAGCATACGTCAAAATATACCAGCCAACTACACAGTGCACATGTTCGGCTCAATCATACATAAGCTCCAGTTATGCCACCTCTTTTTCGCCCACTTTTTGTGGTGCGTTTGCATTTGATATCTGCTTTGCTCCAGCATTTTATCGGTGGCTGTAATTTCATGGGAACCAGCCTCACTAATTAACAAATTATGAAAACACGCTGTGTCGACTTCTGTAATTGGCAAAACATGGTAGCATAGGCAAAAACGTCGGTGTCAGTTGGCCGGCTGTCCCATTGGAGGCGAGAAGCGCCACCCCTGGCGTACCCAGGAGCCATCGTTCCACTACAGCGTGCGTATCAGTTTCTGAAGCCTGAGCAGTGCCAGGATGGGTCCGACCGAACAGTGAAAACAGCGTGATTTTCACGAAATAACAGGGAAAGGCTGATGCTTGGGCTGAGTGGTTACGTGCATTTCACTTATCACTGCGTAACTGAAAGTATCAGAAACTAGACCACTAAGGACGGAGGACTGTCGGACGACCATCACACTAACACCTCCAGCTCCTCCCCAGCGCCTCCCAGCTTCTCCCCAGCGCCGCTCCGGCAGAAAGAGTCGGCAGCAGCGCCGAGCCAGCGCCTGCCAGGCCGGCACAACATTTGTGTTCGTAAATCCGCTTAATTGCCAGTTAATCTGGGATGTCAGCAGTCGAGTTAGCGGGGGAGAGGCGGCGCGGGCGGCGCGACGGCGGGAGCCTCATCCCACGGATGTTTTCAGAGTAGAGCAGTGGGCGGACGGAATGGTGTGTCAGGGGAAAATGCAAGGAGGTTTGAGGGGGAACTAGCTCATACGATTACGCCGATCTACGACGAGTTGAGCATTTCAGCGCGTTAGGTCGACTGCTGACATTCCAGATTAGCTGGCAAATAAACATAATGACGAACACAAATAGGTGCTCGTCAGCATAACTACCCACTTATTTACCTACATTACAGTCACATCTAAATCTTTATGTGCAGCCTTTACGGTCACGGCCTGCCCACCCCGTTCCATCCCACCGTCCCCGGTCCTTTTCCGTACCCTCCCATCACCCTCCGCCTTCCATCCCGTCCCGCCAGCTGCCATAGCCGCTCACACACAGACAGACTCGCGCGCCGAAAAAAGCGCCCGCTCGCCGGCCGGCCGTTTTGAAGTGCCGCTGGCTGGCTCGGGCAGATTGACAGCCGAGACAGGAGCTCAGCCACCATGAGCTGCTGTGGCAGGAGGCTTATCGACCCCACATGGTCTCAGAACGACGGACGAAATCACACTCACGGGATGATTTTTACACAAATGCAGGTAGGTAAATCTCGGGCGTATGTAAACGTACCAAAAATTCCCTTTTCTCTATAATTGATATGTTTCATCCTCTTCAATTTCTTCTTCTTTCCTTTTCTCTTCTTCTCTCAATCAATCATCTTCTTTCTCCTCATTCTGCCTCTGTATTTCTCCTATTCCTCTCCTTTCGTCGCGGCGGCTCGGCATCCCTGCCGCCCAGACGACGCCACCGCATCCGCAGCTGACGACATTTTTACTGGCTGTTTGATGGATGGGTGCGCTAAATACCGCTAATTTCCCGGGGGTTTCTGTTACCGGAGCGCGAGCGCAGCGGTCCTGTTAGACACTCCCTCCCCTATTACCGGGGGCAGCTCTGGTGTTCGGCCACCTCCCACGGCGCCCACCGTCTGCTGGCCAGATCACGACTCAGGGTGAGGGAGGGACGGATGCAGAGACACCGCAGGCCGCCCTGGCGGTGTCTGTCCCGGCGGCAGACCCGGTCGGCCGGGCCGGGCCGGCGGACCGCCGGGGAGGCGGCGGTGGCAGTAATTATCACCAGACCGTGGTGGCAGACGGTTCGTCAGCCCCAACACGTGCGCACCGCCTCCCTCCCAGGCGCAGCGCGGCGCTATTTATGACTGTGTTAGAGGGACGCTAAGTGGCCGGAGACAGCCGGGCTTGGACGGCGCCGTTCTGGATGCTTAGCTGCTGATGGGGTTCAACACAAAACAGGGCTCTGCGGAAAACATGGTCCTCTAGCATGTCATAGCAGAGCATTTATTTACAGGTTTACTGTTCTGTTCACCGCTCCTAATTGTCTATAGACAAATATATTTTCCACCTTCACTATAGTAAAAGTGGAAAAAACGTAAAAGCCAAATTGCAAAACTGATCTGAAACTAGATCTTGAACATCGAAATTGGTTTAAAAATGCTTGTTGCGTATATCTTACCACCATGCGTTGTTGTTGAAACTTGAAAGATACAAATCGGTTGAGCAGGCGTTCATTTTTCCATTTGAACTCACGATTTCTATTCAGAAACTTACTAAATATACGCAATATTTATGTAGACAATAGTCATGAAGAGGCTCAGAAGATAACGATAAAAAACACTTTCGCCGGAACCGCTGGCTGCGGGCTTACACATTTCAGAGTACCTACCCTGAAACTTCTGAAATATCATTTGATGCCTGACCAGCAGACTGGGCAGCTCGGCGACTCGGCAGCGTTACTGGAGAGGCCAGATAAGGCGTCCGGTCCGTGTGTGAACCCATCTCAGCCGCGGCAGCGCACCTGTCTCCCCTCCCCTCCCCTCCCCTCCACTGCAGTAGCGACTTGACAGGATGTTTGCGCGCGTGCAACACTGCAGACGCGTGTGCAACATTCCCGACTGAGCCGACACCAGTCGTGGCGACCTCCCTGCCCCGGGCGGTCTATCATCTGCCAGCCGGTCTACTACTCACGCCATGGTCAGTCCGGGGTCAGCTATGACCCCCATCCCGCCAGAACTGGCTTGGGGGGGAGGGGGCGCTGTCGGAGACTGGCCTGCTTTGAACTGTCAATAGTGGCAGCAGCCGGCGGCAGATCAAAGCGGAGGGTCGGGGCGCCGCCGCCGCCGACATCGACACGGCACCAGCGGGCCGAGACTAACTAGCGGCGCCACGGAGGGACGGCCGCCGACGGCAGCCGCGCCCGGCGGCGGCGGCGGCGGCGGCGGCGCCAGAGGCCGATATAATTGAATCAGCGAGCACTCGGACGCCCCACTGCCCTGGGATAGGTGGCTATTTTTGGTTTAGATAGTTATTCATCCTTGCACGAAAGGAAATCGAAATAAGTAAATCTCTGAGAAATATGACCGAACCACGACGTCTTTAAGTCACCCACATACCTATATCTGTTTGGAAACGAGACATTTCAACAGCTCAGGACCTCAGCTTATCATCAGTCAACAGTAGTGCTATTACGCAAAGCTTTGATGATGCATCTCCGTTCAACCACCAAAGGTTACACAGCTTGAACGGGGACCCGACGGCTGCAGAACACCGGCCGTCCGCTGGCCACTGCACCGCGCGGATCTGCGGCCGGCGCGGAGCGCCTGATGTCAGACTGTGCCGCACGGCACGCCAGCCCTGCGGTACAGTCTACCCGGCAGGCGCTTCGGCTCTAGCAGGCGGCGCGGTGGCCGGCAAACGGAGCGCTGCATGATGCTTGGTCCAAGATAACATACGGAAAGTATGTAATTTTATGCATACTACATCGGCTACTCCCTTGAAAAGACATAACAATTATCTAGCTTGAAAATGAAAATAAACCAATTCTTATATTGTCCTTGGAACTGCTCTCACCAAAACCGCTATGATGCAAAACACTAAAACAAAACGCTAGACGCTTAACCCGCGACCTGGTGGGGGGGCTATTTTTTGCCCCCCCCCCCTCCAGACTTTTCGATATATCTCCAGAACCGCTGCGCCGATCGTCACCAAACTTTCAGTACCCTCCCGGACATCAATTTTACACATTGTGACCAAAAATTTTTCCAAAAGCTATGATAGGTTGGCCGGAAATGACGTCAGAGTGACGTCATGTTCTGCCGTTTTTGACCCAAAAAAGGGTTTCGCGGGAAGAGCTGTCAGGCCTATAGCTTTGCAAATACAGAAAAATGTTTAGGACATAAAAGCTGTAGAATTGACAGGGCTACAAAACTGCTATCTCGGAATTTTGATTTTTTTTATTTTGACCCCCAAAAACCAAAAAATAGATTTTTGGGATATAAAAGTCAAAAAATCCAAAAAGTTTTTTGAATTTCGTAAAAACCGGAATATATGTGATAGTCCTTACCGCCTTCCATCCACATACCAAATTTTAGATTGATACCTCTTTTTTTGGCGAAGTTATAGCGAAAAAACTGTTCAAAATTGATGACGTCAAATTTTCAAACTCAATTTTTAGCAATTCTAGACCTCGTAGTGCAAAACAAAGACCACCATAAGACTCCCCGTGACGAGCTGCATCGAATCGATACCCATTTTATGCAAAAATATCAAGTTTGAAATTTGACCTTTTTTGACCTGACCTTGACCTGACCTTCACCAGAAAGTGACCTAAACCGTACCTGATGGTCTTATAACCAACACCATTGGGTTGGAAATGAAAAACTGGCCATAAAACATGCATCGCACAACCTTAGTAAAGTTGGGTTCATGTAGTGACCCTTGGTGAGTGGTGACCTTTGGTGACCTGACCTGTGACCTGACCTGGTATGACCAGTGACCTCTAATAGCAACATATGTACTAGACAACTGACGTCTTATCGCTGATTTTCGACAAAATGCGTTTTACTCGGTGTTATAGCGCTTTCCCTAGAAGCCCCGTGAACGGTGAAACATTTTATCTTTGACCCGACCTGTGACGTCATCGGTGACCCCGAGGTCAATAAAATTTGGTTTCCCTCAACAAATTTGACAGGCCTTTCGAACGCCGTTTGAATTTTGCGGATCCGTCCAGTAGTTTCGGAGATACGAGGGGGGGGGGCAAAAAATAGCCCCCCCCACCAGGTCGCGTTATAAACAGACCCCACCAGGGCGCGGGTTAATTAGCATGTTTGGGAAGCCTGACGCCAATATTTTTCCTGCCTTACAAATAATGCAAAACCACATGATAGGTTGATTATGCCAACAATAAAAGACCTTGTTTATTTATGTAATGCCTGATTTAGTGTGATCTGTCTCGCTGAGAGACGGGCGTTTAACGGGCTTGGGATTAAACGTCACCACTTTTCTTCTGACAAATCGACTATGTTTGAAAGATGATGAGTCTCTCATTGTTGATGACAGTGGCACATTTGCATTATTCAAACTTCCGTCACATTATTCATTGCCAATATAATCTTAATTATCTTTCAGTCGAGAGACGTGTCGACTCCATCTAACTGACGCGCCGTCCAAACAGCCCGGTCGCCGGAGGGCCGGCCGCTCGCGGCGGTCGGACGATGACGGCTTGTTTGATCGATGGTCGGACGAGCGTCGGGGCTGCGGTGGCGGCAGTCGAACACCCGAGCCCCCGGCCGGTCCGCGCGCACTGCGGCACATCACCGGAAGAGCACGTGTGAGCGCTGGTGGAAGGGCGCTGCCAGAGCCGGACGCGAGTGTCAAACGCCTCCGTCAACTCGAGGGAGCCCGAGACTGAAGGCCACGTGGCTGCTGACTTCAGTCATAATATCAAATGCGCCTGCTGATGATCGATAGAGGTGAACCCTTGGGTGAGCCGGGTGCCGGAAAGAGGGCTGGGGCTGCGCAGCGGCGCTAGCTCGTCAATTTATTGATTGTGTGTGTTGTCGGTGTATTGTAAGAAAACGTATTGAGGTCATCATGGTCGTCAACACGACAAAGTCGGAATCACTTCGAGCTAAATACGACTTGGATATTGAGCAGCTGGACTACAAATATATTGGGCAATGCACCAAGGTGAAAACTATCGAGAACATTCTAAGAGTGCTGCGCTCCGGACAGGAAGGGGTATATCCCGATCTAGTCCGCTTTACCGAGGAGAGGCTCAGGACACTGAAACCTAGCAGTGCTCTGCTGAGAACCGAGCAGCCAGCAACAGCTCTCCGCTTCCTCGACAGCAAAGAAAGAGACGAACTTCTTTCGGATCTGACAGAATGGAAGCAGGAGGTATCTGCTGCGGATGCCGAGCTGAAGTCGTCGGGATCCGCTAAGGAGCCTGCCGATCAGCAGTTGCCCCCGGTGCGCGGTACGGTACAGCTACGCTCAGCCACCGTCGGCGAGAGGAAGCCGGAGCCGGAGCAGAAGCCGGCGCGCATCGCATCCTACGACTACGCCGCCTGGGACCGTTATGACGTGGAGGCTCAGCTGAAGTTGCTGGACGAGAGCGACGCGCCCGCCGCGCCGCCGCAGCCCGCCGTGCAGCCGCCCAGCGATCCGGCCATCGACGACCAGCCGCCAGTGGAGGGGCTCAGCGCCGCCGAGCGCAGCGCGCTGGCACTCCGCGAGAAACAGAAGGGCAACGAGTACTTCCGCAGTGGCGACTTCAGCCGCGCAGCCGTCTACTACACGCGCAGCATCAACGCCAGTCCGACGGCGGCGGCGTTCAACAACCGGGCGCAGGCCAACCTGAAGCTGGGCAAGTACGGCTCTGCGCTGATGGACTGCGGGGCCGTGCTGCGCAGGGAGCCCAACAACGTGAAGGCCCTGCTACGCCGCGGCATCGCCCGCCAGATGAACAAAGACTGGATCAAGGCACGGCTCGACTTCCAGCGCGTGCTGGAGCTGGAGCCGAACAACCCGCAGGCGCGCCAGCACCTCGGAGAGGTGGAGAAGGCCATTATCGGCAGCGAGACCAAGCGCAGCAAGGTACTCATCCAGGAGGTCGACTCGATGGAAGAGGAGGGGGTCCAAGGGGCAGCGCCCGCTGGTGATGGCGACGGACATGCTGATAGTCATAAGAACAAGAGTGATGCTAGGACGAGCTTAGAAAGTGATGCTGTTGCGAGTCACAAGGATGACGTAAGTAACAAAGGACCGGCGCTTATTCAGGAGATTACACAAAGTGAAAACACGGAGGAGGTGGTCATCAACACAAGGTTCAGAACGCAACAGCCTGAGAGATCTAAAATTGAAGTTTCCATTAGCAAGGAGCCAGAGGTCGGATGCGGAGAAAAACAAAAGGAGTCACCGTTACCAGCTTCCCACGCAGCCAATCCAAAGGCTCTCTCAAAAGACGATGAAGAGACCACCTCCAAGATAACATCACGAACGCGAGAACAGGACACCCCCGCCGATGCTCCTAAGCAGCTGCCGCAGACTCTGGTGGCGGACAGCAGCGTACCGGGGCACCGCGTCACGGACCAGCAACCTCCGCGTTTGCCTGCCACCGGCGCCGGCCAGCCAGCAGCTCGTCCGCCGGCCGCCGGATCGAGCCAGCCGCGCCGCTGGAGCACGTTCGAGTTTATGCGCGAGTGGCGGTGTGCGCGCCGCTCCGAGCGCAGTGCGGCGGCCATGGCGGCCCTGCTGCGCTCCGTGGATCCCGATCAGCTGACCGAGGTGCTGGGCGCCGAGCTGGACTCGGCTCTGCTCTCATCCGTCATACGGTGAGTCCTCTCTGACGTCTCCTATCAAACGGTGACTGCTTTCCACTCCTCTCCAAAATCCAGTGAAACCTTCGCCTCGTCTTTCATACGACGATTCTTTCTTCTGTCCATAGGCGACTTTTTCACTCTTCCCTCACCTGACACGCTGTAATTTATTTCTATCTTCTCTGTCATCCAGTCCAGTTATTCCTCCTCTGCCCTGTCGGTCCCTGTCACACGTTGAAGTCTTCCTGTTATCGGGGAACTCATTGTGATTTCTTACAAGATCTCTTTGACACAGAGTCTCTCACAGATGCGAAGACGGTGACTCCGACACAGGATGTTGGATGCTGCTGACACAAGGTATTTGCTTCACAGGTGTGTGGACGAGGTGATGCTGGCGCAGGACGGTCCGCAGCGGTGCCACCAGCTGCTGCAGAGGCTCACCGACGCCCGCCGCTTTCACGTGGTGAAGCTCCTGTTGGATGCCAGGGACCGGCAGCGGCTCCAGTCGATCGCCGAGCGGCTCTGGCGGCGCGGGGTGGACGTAACCGCCCTGGAGAGGAGCTTCCTCAGCTGAGGCAGCGGCTCTAGTCCATCGCCGAGCGACTGTGGCGGCGCGGGGTGGACGTCTACGTTGACGTCGGTGTGACCAAGAGCTTCCTCGGCTAAGGCAGCGACTATGCCTGCGCGGGATGAGCCTCCCGTTGTACGGGATGTGCAATGGGTCGTCTGTTCTGTCCATTGAGTGAACTGTTATTTTACAATTTAGTTCGGTGAAATAAGGTGAGAAAGTGCGGGTGCATAAGGCAGTAAAGCCGTTGCAGACTTTGCTGCAGTAATAGTAGCTTGTTCTTGTTTACCTATACTATGATCCACCTTACATAAATTGCTGATGATATGGGGAACATATTCGTCTAAGCGAACGAGACTGGGAGGGAACAAGAACAAATGTGCAGAGAAAATGTTTCTCTCCGGGCTCAAATTTCACGCTGCCGATTCTTACTGCTACCGACCAGCTGTTACTGTCGGGCGGCCGCAAGTGCAGGCAAAATCGTAATAATGCCAAATGACAGTCTGTGACTGGTGACTGGTGAGTACCGATCTGACGGCTTGTGAGTGCCGTCAGAGGGGCCGTAATTGCCGACTGGGAGGCCGTGCGTAACGTCTGTGTAGGTATCGGACTGGGTGTTCGGTCGGCCGGCATTGCCGTCAGAGGGGCCGCGCTTACCGCCCGAGGGCCGCCGCGAGTGCCGTCGGTCGGACGGGATGTCCGACCGGGGCATGCCGCCAGTGCCGCCCGAGGGCCACGATCGCCGCCCGCACGACACCGCTGCACTGTCCACCGGGCCGTGATTACCGTCCAGTATAGGCCGAGAGTGCCGTGGTTGCCCCCCGTCGGCCACCGCTGCCTGTCCGCCGGGCCCACATCAAACACGGGCCGCGGGCCGCGCTGATCAAAGGCTGCCAGTATCGGTGTCGACGGCTCGCTGATTCGACCAGTTAGCCGTAATGCGCTCACTAAACCAACACGGCGTCAACCCGACCGGCCGCCCGAGCCGGCCGCAAAAACAGCCATCAAACTGGGTCCAAGGGGTGTTTGAGGCCGCCGTCGGCGAGACAGGCATCAACGTAGTGCTGTGCGGTGTGATTCAGACTAAAACAGCATCAGTCAGTCGCTAAGGAGCAGCACTGACAAGTGACAATAGCGGCAACGCCATCAGCACCCGTGCCAATTAACCCGCGCCCCGTAGGGCTACAGGCGGACCCTACCACCCGTAGGGGGGGGGGGGGCGTTTCGGCCCCCCCCCTAAGATCTCGGAAAGTTACCGGCCGATTTTCAAAATTTAAACGGCGTTCGATAGCCCCACCCGGGAACTACCTTGTGACCAAATTTCATTGACCTAGGTCAAACCGATGACGTCACAGGTCAGGTCAAAGGTCAGATTTTCACCGTTCACAGGCATTTCAAGAAATGTGTTGTGAAATCGAGTAAATTGGTAATTTATTGAAAACCATCGATGGTACATTGTTCGTCAAACACATACTTTGCTATCTGAGGTCACTGATACCAGGTCAGGTCACAGCGAGGTCAGGTCACCGGGGGTCACAATGTGAAAGTGTCGTGTGATACATGTTTTATGGTCCATTTTACATGACAAATGCGATTATGTGGGTTAGGCAGCCTTTGGGGCCAGCCTAGGTCACGTTTTGGTGAAGGTCAGGTCAAGGTCAGGTCAAATTAGGTCAAATTTCAAAGTTGATATTTTTGCATAAAATGGGTATCGATTCGATGCAGCTCGTCACGTGGAGTCTAATGGTGGTCTTTGTTTAGCTCTACGAGGTCTAGAATTGCCAAAAATTGAGTTTGAAAATTTGACGTCATCATTTTTGAACAGTTTTTTTCGCTATAACTTGGCCAAAAAACGAGGTATCGATCTGAAATTTGGTATGTAGATAGAAGACGGTAGGTACTATCACATATATTCCGTTTTTTCGAAACTCAAAAAACTTTTTGGATTTTTTGGCTAATATATCCAAAAAAATGCTTTTTTGATTTTTGGGGGTCAAAACTCCAAAATTTCAAAAATCCTAGATAGCAGTTTTGTAACCCTGTCGATTCTACACCTTTTATGTCTTGATCATTTTTCTGTATCTTCAAAGCTGTAGGCGTGACAGGTCTTCTCACGAAGGTCTTTTTTCGGTCGAAAATGACAGAACATGACGTCACTCTGACGTCATTTGTGACCAACCTATCATAGCCTCTGGAAAAAATTTTTGGTCACAATGTGTAAAATTGATGCCCGGAGGGGTCCTGAAAGTTTGGTGGCGATATCTCCAGCCGTTTAGGAGATGTCGACCGAAAAGGACAGGGGGGGCCGTTTCGGCCCCCCCCCCCCTACGGGGCGCGGGTTAACCCTCGCCGGCCGAGGGGGGGGCGGGTGCCGCCCCCCCATAGGGTTTTTTCGCGATAGCTCCGAACACGCTGGCGATAGAGAGCTGAAACTTGGCATACCTGACCTTTGATCCAAGCCGGATCTTTTGACACCAACCGCATTTTTGGGTCAGGTCAGGTCACTGACCTATGACGTCATAAGTGAACCTCTGCACGGTCTTCAGATGTCGCAACTTCGCAACGCCCTCACTGCCAGAGGAGATGTCACAGGGAAATGAAACTTGCAGGATCTAGTATCCATTATGAGTCCCACAACTTGTATATCTCGGATTTTTCCTTAAGGTCATATGAGGTCAGGTCATTTTCGTGACCTCACCATTATAAGTCAATGGGGAAAAATTCAAACTGCTATTCTGGCGCCGGGAACGATCTCCAACTATCTCAAGCACACAGAATCGTGATTTGATGCACTCCTTGCAAGGTTAGATGCGTCACTTTTGCAATGTTGACCTTGCGTGACGTCATTTATGACGTCATCAAGGTCAAATTAGTTTTTCGTCAATAACTCTTGATCAAATTGAGCTAGCGAGTCGGGAAAGGCACCAATGGACTCAGGAAGGCCTGCCGAATCGAATGATATGCGACATGACCTCTTTTGACTAACTTCGTGACCTGGGGGTGCTGACCTGACCTTGACCTGAGGTCAAAACCCCAAGTTGACCTGACCCGGACAAAAGGTATATCATTCGACGCGCCTGAGCGAGGCGAACACAATGCTGCCAAAATCGGCGCTCTGCGGCCGTTTTTTGCGAAGTTATTCACCAAAAACTGAACCGTACCCTGGGGCACTTGACCTGACCTCAGAGGTCACCGGTTGACCTAGGACCTTAAAATCGGGTACCAATCTCTGCGTCTCGTAACGGCGCACACGCTCGTTTTTTCCGCGACGCGCTAGCTCCACCAGGGGCGAAACGGCGAGGGGGGGTCGTACCGGCCCCCCCCCCCCTCGGCCGGCGCGTATGTACGGAAAACCAATAGGTCCGGCGAGGGTTAACTAATACGCAGCGAGCGAGTGAGCTTATTTGTAATATAACGGGACACATTCGGTATGAGCGGTCGAACCGGCCTAGCCCAGCTCCATGCACTTCTGAGAAGTTTATACCTCGGTAACCGCTCGACCGATCGACAAGCGGTCTTCTGCATCAGAATGAACAAAGTTCATGGATCCTGGGATCCAGCCGACCTTCATGGATCGGCTGGATGGTCTGCATGCAATAGTCAGTTGGAGATCTCACATCGATGCCTACTTTCGCACGTGCAGGGTACGTCTCAGTTTGCACTGTATCGCTCGCTCGTTTGTCGCCCAAAAGGCGTCTTACCATGGTTTTATCGCATTAGCCAGCCCTTATTTTGCAACAGTGATGTTTGCCTTATGTATTCAGCTCAGGGGCACGATAATTTGCCCCTTGACTACACCCGGATGCTAAAGGGCACCCTTTGGAAACTATCCTTACCGCGTCTGACCTGGCTGTCTGTGCGGTGACCCGCGATGACGGTTCGCTTTGTGGCGGTGACCGATCATTCGTCAATATAAGCGGTGACCGTTCAGTTTGTGACACTGACCAGTGCCCGGTCGGTGATTTACTGTCTGTCTCGGTGGCCTGGTCGGTCGGTAACGAATGAACGGTTACCGACCGTTCCGTTGACCAGTGCCCGGTGACCAGTGATGTTCCGTTGACCAGTACCAGTGACCGGTCGGTGACCTACCGTCCGTCTCGGCGGCCCTGTCGCCGCCCGTCCCGCCGTCCGCCGGCTCCAGGCTGTCCAGCTGTAGCAGATGGCTCACTGAGAACCGTTTGGCGTTCTCCGATCCGGCCGGTGGCAGCGCCTGAAGCCGCTCCAGGTAGGCGCTCGGGTCGAACGGCAGCGGACCGCCGCCGCCGGCCGTCAGGTTCAGCGCGCTCACCGCCGGCGGGTTCATCTCGGCACCACGCGCGCACCGCACCGCCGCCGACTGCCGACGACCGTCGGCGCCGACGGCACAACCCGCGACCGACGCTCCGCCCCCGGCCGGCGCGGTCGGCCGCGCGGCGCCGGGATGGCCGCCCACCGGCGGAGAGCGGAGGGCGCGGCACCGGAATGTGCCCACGATGGAAAGCAGGCCTGTCAATAGCTCAGCCGATCACTATGAAATGCTGATGTGGGTGCTCGAAATAAGCCAGGCCCGAAAACTGTAAATTAAGTCACAGTTATCATGTAATCGTAGACGGCATATCACTCGCTTGCAGATTTATAGGAAAATGGAAATAGTCTCTCTTATCAGATCACCCTCATCCGGAGTAACTTTTAGCAACCGTTTTTCTTCATTTTTCTTCCTATCTGAGTTCGTTCTTGTTACCTACACGTCACCTGAAAATTTCATTTCCCTAGCGGGTTAGCTTACGCCAATGAGCTATGGCGATAATTTAGGTAAAACAAGGACGGCATAATCGAGACCAGCCGGCCCACAAATATTTACCTATACCTACAGGGTGTCCAGAAAAAACGGATACTAGGTAGGTATTATATTTTGCTCTACCTAATTCCGAAAATAAACACCGCACATTTTAAAATGGCACATGCTTGTATTCGCAAAAATATGGCAAAACAGACAGCAGGTGCCACATGGCATGTAAACTCTTTGGTAAGTCGCGGCAGCTCCTCAAAGCAGATACGCAATGTGAGCGGCCTTCTCGCGGATCAGCTCCAGCACTAGCACGGTCTGCAGATGGCTGATGGTCCTGTTGACCATCTCGGAGGGCCGACAGACAACTTCCCAACCTCTTTAGTGCCCTGTTCCCAACGACGCATTAGAGTGCTCATGAGTTTTGCCAATTCTTGCACTATAAGCACATGAAGTTGGAAAAAAATCGGCACGTGCGTTAACCCTCGCCAGCCGAGGGGGGGGGGGGGTGCCGCCCCCCCCCCCATAGGGCTTTTTTCACGATAGCTCCGAACACGCTGGCGATAGAGAGCTGAAACTTGGCATACCTGACCTTTGATTCAAGCCGGATCTTTTGACACCAACCGCATTTCTGGGTCAGGTCAGGTCACTGACCTATGACGGCATAAGTGAACCTGTGCACGGTCTTCAGATGTCACAACTTCGCAACACCCTTACTGCCAGAGGAGATGTCACAGGGAAATGAAACTTGCAGGATAAAGTATCCATTATGAGTCTCACAAGTTGTATATCTCGGATTTTTCCTGAAGGTCATATAAGGTCAGGTCATTTTCGTGACCTCACCATTATAAGTCAATGGGGAAAAATGAAAACTGCTTTTCTGGCGCCGGGAACGATCTCCAACTATCTCAAGCACACATAATCGTGATTTGATGCACTCCTTGCAAGGTTAGATGCGTTACTTTTGCAATGTTGACCTTACGTGACGTCATTTATGACGTCATCAAGGTCATATTAGTTTTTCGTCAATAACTCTTGATCAAATTGAGCTAGCGAGTCGGGAAAGCCACCACTGGACTCAGGAAGACCTGCCGAATCGAATGATATGCGACATGACCTCTTTCGACCAGCTTCGTGACCTGGGAACCGATGACCTGACCTTGACCTGAGGTCAACACCCTAAGTTGACCTGACCCGAACAAAAAGTATATCATTCGACGCGCCTGATCAAGGCGAACACGATGCTGCCAAAATCGCGGCTCTGCGGCCGTTTTTTGCGAAGTTATTCACCAGAAACTGAACCGTACCCCGGGGCACTTGACCTGACCTCAGAGGTCACCGGTTGACCTAGGACCTTAAAATCGGGTACCAATATCTGCGTCTCGTAATGGCGCACACGCTCGTTTTTTCCGCGACGCGCTACGCGCTAGCTCCACCAGGGGCGAAACGGTAAGGGGGGGTCGTACCCGCCCCCCCCCCCCCGGCCGGCGCGTATGTAGAAAACCAATAGGTCCGGCGAGGGTTAACCCTCGCCGGCCGAGGAGGGGGGGGGCGGGTGCCGCCCCCATAGGGTTTTTTCGCGATAGCTCCGAACACGCTGGCGATAGAGAGCTGAAAACTTGGCATACCTGACCTTTGATCCAAGCCGCATCTTTTGACACCAACCGCATTTTGGGGTCAGGTCAGGTCACTGACCTATGACGTCATAAGTGAACCTCTGCACGGTCTTCAGATGTCGCAACTTCGCAACGCCCTCACTGCCAGAGGAGATGTCACAGGGAATTGAAACTTGCAGGATCTAGTATCCATTATGAGTTCCACAACTTTTATATCTCGGATTTTTCCTAAAGGTCATATGAGGTCAGGTCATTTTCGTGACCTCACCATTAGGGGAAGTTGGGGGAACGCCGAATACTTTTTTCTGACGCCCGTAGCACGCAAGGTAGACACATAAGCTATT